ATACACAGTTCATCTTTGAGCCCTCCTCCAATCTCATTTTGGGAACCCATTTGCGGAATGATGGCCTCTGTCACTAGTCGATTTCACTTATATGATTTATAAATATTTGAGAACAAACAAACAAACAAACAAACAAAAGAAATGGCCAGCTGCCAATAACAGCTGACAACTATTCAACAGGTGTTTAAAGGTTAAAAAATCCCAAAAAACCAGATGCCAATCTCAAACCATTTCTATTGTCAGTAAATCTCTTTCCTAGCTGAGATGCAGTTCAGCCACCACCTTCATCTTGAAAAGGGAGTCTTCTAAAAAAACCCATAGATTCCTTGGCTTCTCAGTTTTCTTAAAGAGCAGTGAGGCTATTATCCTTTCATACGTTAAAGAGAACTATGCATTTGTTTATCGCCTTTCGAATCTCTTTCTTCATTCCTGAACATGGTTTCCTTCCCTCATCAATGTTTCTTAATAATATTTTAAATTCATGTTTTTAGTTCTTAAATCTATAGGTCCAAACTTTCTTTTTTTCCCTCAAAAATATTTTTATAAAGCATCAAAGCCAGCAGATAATTCAGTCAATGTAAGGAGAAAAATCTGCTGAACCTGTTGTTGACTTCAAGTACCCAAATAACTAATTGATTTGTTTAGATCTTGCGTTTTTTATTTTTATTTTTTGGTGGCACATCTCAGCCAGCATCTCTTGAAAGTCATAAAAAGAGTAACTTAATGACTATATTTGAGATTATGAAGAATTATTACAAAGAGTGTGTGCACCAGCTGTTTTCCATCTCTGCAGTGAACAGAATTATAGCTGATAGCTTAAATTACAGAAAGCAAAATTTAAAGAATAAAGCTAGAATAAGAAATAGACTCTTGTACCACCCCATGACTACTTTAAAGCTGTTTATAAACTGAAGTTGAATTTAAATGATCATAGCCCTGTTCTTTTAAAATATTAGTTAAGGTTTTTGGTTATAAAAATGTCAACTTCTTTAAAGTTTCATCAGTCATACACATTAAGATTTGTCAATATATGCTATTGGAGATATCAAAAACAATTTAAGAGATACTATACAAGATGCATACTCAGTTGCTAACTGGGAAAAGGGAAGAGACCTTAGAATACATATGATTTTTGAATCAGAAAACATTGCTGAATTTAGTACGGCATCTGGCACTGTGTTTGCAGTCCAACAACTTTCAAATCAGAGGTTTGCTTCTGGTGGTAAATAAATGCCTAACCCATTACTGCATTGATGTAGACTCTGGGGAAAGAGAGAAAGTAGATATGAATCAAATGTCCTATTGATTTGAAGATGGTGCTGCAGATGCTTATAAGGGGCTTTCTACTAGGGTAATCTGCTTGTGAACAACTCCTTTTTAACTGGGAGATATTAGCTTAAATGCTATAAATTCATCCAGATGACATGAAGAGAGAGAAACTTAATGAGGCCATAGCATCAATTCCTAAAGTTCATTTAATGTTAATATGGTTACTTCATATATTACTCTAGGCAAGAATCTATCCCCTTTTTGATAAGAATGTGAGTTTTCAGATATTTTATTTGGAGTATATGCCCTCCAAGTATCAGGACCATTCATCATGGACCTGGGGTTGAGGGGAGGGGAGCAAAGTTCAGTCTTTATGGTGCTGTAGTCAATTACCTGGCAGCTGACTGCAGTTGCTTGATGTTGCTGAAACCTCTGCATGCCTGTACCCTGTTCTTGGATAATATCTCTTAAATTGTTTTTGATAGCTCTAATAGCATATATTGGCAAATCTTTAATGTGTGGTCATTGGACCAGCAGCAACATCTCCTCAGAGCTTGCTATAAATGCAAGTTCTCAGCACCTACTCTAGATCTACTGAATGAGAAACTCTGGAGGTGGGGCTCAGCAATCTGTATTTTAACAAGCCCTCCAAATGGTTGTCATTTATGCTCAAGTCTGAAAACTACTTTCCTAGAGGCATTTACGCAGACTTTAAGGTCTTCCCTTAAATCATAATGAGAAACTACAATTCAAGGCTATTCTAAAGGACCCTTACTAAACTCTGACCCCACAGCTCCTAGTAATTCCTTGTGGAATCTAAGTAGCATGGAGTCTATATCTACAAAGCCATCACTCCTGAGAAATGATCTGGTTCTTAAGAAAATTCCTAGAGCTAACTATAGGTTGTAAGTCATGTGATGCCAAAATGAAAGGCCATTCATTCATTTCATCAACAGATATGTTTGAGCATCTGCTAAGCCCTAGTCACATATCTGTGGCAAGGATCTTGTAGTCTAAAAGAGAAGTCAAGGTATGAGCACAATAATATAATACATGGGAAAAAAAAGATCACTACCAACTCAGGGAAATCAGGGAAATCTTAACTTCAAGGAAAACAAACTAAAGATTTAGCTGCTGGTTATTTCAATAATGAGAAGCCATAGATATTTTTTGAGCCACCATAAAGTGTGATATGTGGTAAGGTTTGGAAAGGTAAATTTGGTGACTATTCCCAAGAATGAGAAGGAAATGGAAAGGGAAGATCAGGTAAAATATAATTATAATAGGTGAGAAATGAGTAGGACTCGAACTAGTCTGCAAATAGAATCCAATAGATTTGTACCAATGAATGACTATGAGATTATTTGTAAAAAAAATGGGATAAGTGGAACATGCATCTGAAGTTTAGGCACTAAACAAGTGAGATGGTTATGTTATTAAAATTGAAATAAAAGAAGAAGAACAGAGCTTGGGATGAGAAGCTTCTTATGCTATGAGCATGTTAAGTGTGAGGTGCATGCTGAACATCCAAATTAAGGGGTCCAGATTACAGATAGGAGTGGGGGACTATTCATAGTTCAGGTGAAAGAGAACAGGATCAGACATCTAAATTAAGGAGGAATCTACACAGAAGTGATTGTTGATATTATGGGAGGAAAGGAAATTTTTAAGGGAAAGCAGGCTGAAAGAAAAATTAAGTGGGCCACAGAAAACATGTTGCAGAATGACAGTGTTTGTGAGTTGGAAGAGAGGTGTACATGGAAGAGGTAGGGTACCCAGAATCAGACAATGTCATATAAGCAAAGGTGATATCCAAGTGGAATTTACCAGTATGGGTGGGCCAGTTGTTTACATCTCTCCTAATTCCTGATTGCTCTGTTCTTATTAGTGTTCATGTTGATCTGGTTTTAAAATATTTCTAAGTCTAGAAAAGACAGGGGACAATGCGTGAGGATCTAGTTATCACACAACTCAAATGTAGGGGAGCTTGAACACTTTATAGTACTTTGAGGCAAACTGGAAGAGAACAGATTCCCAGAAAGAAAATAGTATATGCACAAAATAGTACTCTAATCACGGTTTGGCTTAAAGAATCCTCCCTTTGGCCTGTGACTCCTGTTATGCTCTTAGTAACATATTTATGCCTTAGAAATGGAATATTGACTTGTCTGCATCTCCTACTAGACTGGAACCTACTGACCAGTATTGTAAAGAAAGTTTAATATCTCATAGAGAATACATGTGAATAGCTAATGGATGAGTATTTTAATTAAATATTAACTGATATTATATACAAGCTTTATTATGTGCTATTTGCTATGATTTCTTACTCAACTAAAGTAAACAAATGGAACCATTATAGGCTGTCCATTGGCCTAAGGGCATAGCCTTGCTATAACTAATATAATTATTATTTTTGGAGAAAATTGGATTTTGTTTATAATATATACAACTATATCCTATTTGAGGAATAAAGGAAATACCAAAATATGATGCATTTAGGATGATTAATACTTTCTAAAACTTTTTTTCCCTAAAAGCTGCTTTTTTAAAAAAAATTTTCATAGCTAAAAGTTTTTTTTCCAAAGATGCTATAGTGGAGTCGTTAGTTTCTTATATACCTGTGTTAACATTAGGTGCAATAAATAATTTTCTAAGTTTTCCCTGGAAAGTTATAATCATAAAATAACTTCTAGATGGCTCAAAATCATCAGACTACTAGAATTAACATACGTATACAGATCTCAGAAGCTTTGGTGTCCCTGAAATCAAAAGGAGTGTCCTAAAGCCACACAAAGCAATAGTCAAGAATGTCCCTCTTTGATGTTTTATAGCTCAAAAGATTTTAAATTCTATGCCTGATGCAGAATTCATTTTATTCTAAACTTTATGAGTGTTTCAATTCAACTTGATCCAATTATCAAGTAATACGCTACAATCATCAGGGAAGCACAATAGAGAGCTAAGGATATTGATATTGGTAGACTCAGCATATTGACAGTATTTAGAATTAGAGTGAACTATGAATCTTGGTATCTTATTCTAAAAAGGAAATTAACAAAAGAGAGACTATCCAGGGAATAAATGATTTCTTATTCTTAGAAACAAGAAATGAGAAATTTCAGATGCAATGTTAAAAAATTAAGATAAAGAGAACACATGATAGTAGTCCTCAAACATTTGAAGAGTTCTAATGTCAAAAGAGGGAAGAGTAGGAGACAGATTAGACTTTAGTACTGAGTTTCTTTTATTTATATTGTACTTTTTGATCCTTATGGACAAACTCAATCCCAAAATCCAAGAACTGGCTTGACTGCGGTTTTCTTTCTTTTTTTCAACAGGGTAAAATGGCAACAGGAATAGCTAAATGTAAGATTCAGAGTAAGAGCAAACTACTCTCCAAATACGTGGCTTTTATTAGCTGTCAAGATTCTCTATGATCCGTATCAAAAATAGTGAAAGTCAGCATTTCATCACTGTTTTCACTGATTTTTTCTTAATATTTTCATAATAACAATAACAATGACTAAACCAAAATATGACCCTTTATACCTCCAAACCAGTTCCAGAATATTTGGCATTTTTGAACTCTTACTGAAAATTAATGAAGCCTTCTTTTTTTTCGGTCTTCCAGAAATGGGGCATTTGGAGATGTTTATGAAAAAACATGTTTTCATGTTCCATTGTTTTCTTTGTAATGACATCAACTTTACTTTGTTATTTTTTGACAGACAATAAAGATTATGATGCATACTTATCATACACCAAAGTGGATCCTGACCAGTGGAATCAGGAGACTGGGGAAGAAGAACGTTTTGCCCTTGAAATCCTACCTGATATGCTTGAAAAGCATTATGGATATAAGTTGTTTATACCAGATAGAGATTTAATCCCAACTGGAAGTAAGTTAATGTTTTCATTTGAGAATATGCATATTTGTATGAGTGTGTAGTCATCGCTTTTTACACAGAATTTTAATTCTGGGTTTTTTACTTCAAAAATTATATCTGTTAGTTTCCCAAGAAAGAAATGTTTTTGTGTGTTCATATGAAATTTAATTTTTGATATCTCAGAGAAAACACTTCCTTCCACTGTTCTATAAAGCATCTCATTTTATGAGCCTTGACATTTAAAGAAACCCAATGAGAGATTTGTATCTGGGAAAACTATTTCCAACATTAAAAGAAGCAAGGCCGAAACTCTATCCAAACTGATCATTGGCTATTTTCATCTTCTCAAGGTGTTACCCAATAATCAATAATTCTCTGTGTTTTTTTGTTTATTTGTTTGTTTCTGCTCTCTCAACCCAGCTTTTCCCGATTCCGGGAAGAACCGGGAAGAGAAAGCCAACAATTCTCATTTAATGTATGAAAGAGAATCTCCCAGGGCTTTCTGGACCAAACAGTTCATTCATTCGTTCTGATGTACTCTTTTCTCTTTTGTAGCATACATTGAAGATGTGGCAAGATGTGTAGATCAAAGCAAGCGGTTGATTATTGTCATGACCCCAAATTACGTAGTTAGAAGGGGCTGGAGCATCTTTGAGCTGGAGACCAGACTTCGAAACATGCTTGTGACTGGAGAAATTAAAGTGATACTAATCGAATGCAGTGAACTACGAGGAATTATGAACTACCAGGAGGTGGAGGCCCTCAAGCATACCATCAAGCTCCTCACGGTTATTAAATGGCATGGACCAAAATGCAACAAGTTGAACTCTAAGTTCTGGAAACGTTTACAGTATGAAATGCCTTTTAAGAGGATAGAACCCATTACACATGAGCAGGCTTTAGATGTCAGTGAGCAGGGGCCTTTTGGGGAGCTGCAGACTGTCTCGGCCATTTCCATGGCCGCGGCCACCTCCACAGCTCTAGCCACTGCCCATCCAGATCTCCGCTCTACCTTTCACAACACGTACCACTCACAAATGCGTCAGAAACACTACTACCGAAGCTATGAGTATGACGTACCTCCTACTGGCACCCTGCCTCTTACCTCCATAGGAAATCAGCATACCTACTGTAACATCCCCATGACACTCATCAACGGGCAGCGGCCACAGACAAAATCGAGCAGGGAGCAGAATCCAGACGAGGCCCACACAAACAGTGCCATCCTGCCGCTGTTGCCAAGGGAGACCAGTATATCCAGTGTAATTTGGTGACAGAAAAGTGAGGGACATCCCGTCCCTGGGAGCTTGAGTGGAATCTGCAGTCCAGTGCCTGGAACTAAATCCTCGACTGCTGCTGTTAAAAAACATGCATTACAATCTCTAGAACACGAGGAAAAACAGGGTCTTGTACATATGTTTTTTGGAATTTCTTTGTAGCATCAGTGTCTTCCTGTTTTACCATGTCTCTTACCATTACATTTTTGACTTTGTTTTATATGTCATTGGAATTTGTAAATTTACATTTTTTTTAAAGAAGAGACTGATGTATAGATAGAAAACCCTTTTTTGCTTCATTAGTTTAGTTTTAGAATGGGTTTTTATTTCCTTTTTTTTTAAAGTTTATTTTGCTTTTAACATTTCCTTGGGGTGCTTGGACAAATCTATCCGATGGGACAAGGAGCACCGGATCCTCTCTCTCGGGTTCTGCCTAGGATCAACTGGGCCACGTCGGCCTTCAGAGAGCAGTGCAATGAAGGCCAGCATTGCTATTTGGGGAAGAACAAAAACATGAGAACACTTGTTCATAGGAGGGCCCTCCAGTCAGAGCCCTGAATCTCTTCCTTGTCCTGTCTCCCCACCTCTACCTTTCTAATGGCGGCATGATGTGCAAACTCTGCGGAGGGGTGGGGGTGGGTCTAACTGTCTTAACATTTAATTCACTGCTATACAGAATACACTCTAGACCCAAAGGTGTGCTAGTCACTTGACAGTGACTACTACAGAGTACTAAGAAGAGAAGATCAAGGGGATGAAAATGGGGAGAGTGTTGTTTCCGTTTTTTAAATGAGTTGACGTACCCTTATATATATATATATATATAAATATAAATATAAATATATATAAAGACAGCAAAACAAAACAAACAAAAAAAACAAAAAAAGAAAAAAAAACAAAAAAATCAAACCCTATATTTGATCACTTCCTGGAAAGGCATGAATGTGTTTGTGGCTGTTTTTCTTTAATATTCTACTTCTTCTTTTCCCTCTATAATTTTTCTGCAAATGAGATTATGTGCAAGTGCCAGGGAAGTTAACTCAAAAGGGTGAATCAACGCAAGTCAAAATGAATTTACATTGAAGGCTTCCAAACCAAAGGGAAGGACAGGATGTGTCATCAAATATGTTTTGTCACCTTGTATTATACAAAATATTATTTTCTAAAAAGTCAGAGAAAATCTAGGAAACTTATTATTGTGGGGTCCCCTTGTATTTAAATGTTAACTCGCTTGTATTTAATTTTCAATGCTACATTCAAAATTAAGTGGTTTCAGTTTGTGGACATAAGCAACACTTATTAATATCAAGGTGTTTAAATAAGAACTCAGGAGGTCAAATATATGGATACCAACCGAGATCAGTATTTTTAAAACAGACATTATTTCCACAAAATAGTTTTTAAAATAGATCAGAAAGTGTTTAAAATAATTGATTTTACTGTATAAAAATTTGCTTTTTTAACTATATAATTCTATCTTTCAGAAAACAGAAAGCTGATGCTCCCAGGAAATTCATCCCTTACCATTTAGCTTTATGTTTGAAATCAATGATGTAAGCAGCTAATTCATATTCATGTTAAGGATGATGCAAAATCAATCACAAAGGAATCTTCAGAGGGCAGTTATTAAAAGAAAATATTACCTATGTAGCTTTTAGTTAAAAAATCAATGTGATAAAAACACTGATAATAGAACTTATACATTAATTTAGTGATTCATTGTAGGAACTTCCATCCCAGTTATCATCTTTGGGCTTGTGTAGTGACTACTGTATGTTTGGTGTATTCTTACTACCATATAATGAGAAAACAACTCTACAATTTTGGTCACAATACTAAGGTGTGAGCTGGCCACAAAAACAAAAAAATAAGGTGTAAATTGCAGTAGAGTTCACTGGGGAGAGTGAGATTGAATTGCAAATGTATGAGAGATGAGTATAAGCGTTTTGTAACCAAGCAAAGATCTCAGTATCTGTGTGACAAGGTAAAGGAGCCTTGGAATGTGTATTGATTTTTATTTGCTTAAGAATGTTTATCTCCCTGACAACTCGCCTGGGTCCTTCTCTACAATCTGTTCTTTATTCCCTTGCTCCCCTTGGATCTGTGTCACATTTTCCACAAACCAGGATTGAAGCTGCAAGGACGTGTAAAACTTTAAGGTCAGCTTTGCACATTGAGTTATTTTCAGAATTCAAGAAGGCCATTGTTTACTTTGTACTATGGACACCTGTCAGGGACTGGTGGCAGTGAAACTTATTGGACTGGATTCCAAATTCCCCAGTGCTCAGAAAACTGTAAACATGGCAATGGCCTGACTTATTTCTTTGGTTTTATTTTATTTTATTTTTTTAAAAAAATTTTAAGTGCACGATGGAAGTGTGGAATAAATGTAGAGGAAGTTATCAGACCACAGTCATATTTTAGGCATCCATAGGTGTTAATTTAGCTGCATTGGGAGTCCATTTTTTGTTCTCTTTTTAGTGTAGATTTAAGCATTTTGAATAGCATGATTCAGGGATTGATTGGTAATATTTGATATTCTCACAACTTGAGAAACTTCCTTTCCTCTAATGCTTTTTCATATTTAAAAAAAATGAAAGAAATGCAAAAGAAGCTATCTATGGCTTTAGAAACATTCCTCCCAAGTATTCCTCTATCAGCTCCATGTGAGAACAAATGAAGGAAACTGTCATGTGTTCACGTGCTCTATGTTTAACAAAAGTTCTGTTAGAACTCACAATAAAAAGAGAAAAAAATGTATTTCCCCTAGTGCTTAGGTTTCATCCTTCTCTTTTTTGGTGGGGGCTGTGGAGGTAAGAATATTCTAGTTGTAAAAACACAGTTGAAAGTGTGACTATGTTAGCCAAGCTGGGAGAGAGAATGGACTTCCAGACTTGGACATGTGTGATGTTTGATTTTGCTTGCTTTTCATCGATCACCACTTGGGCTCTGAATGCCACATTATGGATTCAAAAGTCCATCTGGTTCTTTGTGTAACCTCTACTTGCTGCTTATGAGCGTCCTACCCTTTATTCTGGTGCTCAAATCTTTTATTATTTAATTTGTACTCCATTCCTTAGGTCTCCTATGGGCAGAGAAGACATTTGTATCTCATATAGCCAACTGATTTAAGTTTAGATCAATTCTATGAAAAAAAAATCCAAGACATGATGAGTTGAGACCTGAACCTACTATATTTCTATAGCTAAACACCTGATTGTTCAAACAGTAACCATTTTGTGATTATTACTTTCTTCGTAGTATATGTATTTGAACCATATCAACTTAATCTTAAAAATATAGATGGTGGTTTCTTCTGTATTTCATTATTATCTAGCATTTTATAACAAGAACAAATATTAACTGAGAGCCAACCCCTAAACTGTAAGTAAGTTTTGTTTATCCTAGAATAGTCATTAACTTTTCAGATATCATTCATGTAAATTGAGATTACCATTTCTAGGAAAACATCGATTCGTGCATTTGTGAATTATTTTCAGATTCTGAAATGATACCCTAGTTCTCCTTTTTCTAAGGAGTATTTTTTATCTTGTGCTAATTTCTAATTTCTTTCTTTTTTATTAGCTTAAGTTTATATTATTAGTCCCAGAAGAAAGCTTATTTAAATTTAAAGAATAACATCAGCATTGTACAAGTGAAATGACAGAATGGAACTAAGAATACGCGAACACACAGACACAGAAGAGGAAAATCTCTTACTGTCTCTGATCTAAACTTGGTCATTAATCCCATTATTGACATCGTTCATTAATAGAGGTAAAATATTATTAAATATGTTAGAAATCTCACCTACAGATATATATTCCCTATTGCTGAAGAATTTTTCTAACAACATATACCGTTAATTACATAGAGATGATGATGCGGCTGGGTTCCTTAAAAGGAGAAGCTTGTCAATGGAAGCAGAGGCTATTCCTCGCCTTTTCTTGAACCTTTCCCATTCTATTGTTCTGAAAAAAGAAAGTAACTAAAGGTCAAATTTTGATTATCCTTAATAATAGACCTCAAACTTGGGTTCAAGGATACCTTTGATCTATAAAAACGATTAAAGAAAATGATGGAGCCCTCAAAATTCCAGACAAAATTGTTAATGTGTATAAAACTGTGTCTGTCTGGGTGTGACTTTCAAGACATTCATCACCTAAAAAAAGCTATTGATGTTTGGATTTAGAAAATATTCTCAGAAATTGATATTTAGATAAACCCACGTATCCTGCAAGTATTGTTGTGTATACCACGCCTTACCTTCATTTGTGAAATTTAGGGGGTGATTATTGTTCTTCTAATAGGCAATTTCTCTTCCAAAATGGCCTTTTTGGGATACCTAGTATATAGTGAAGAAAAACTTTGTATGATGACAAATAATTCATGTACAGATAAATAAGGATTGACTATTACTATTGTGATAATTTACTCATTTTTTCACCAATTTAAAAAATAGTTTGGGGGTAATGTAAAATCATGTAAATTGGCAATGATGCCTTATTTCATTAAACTTCTTTATGATTTGTGTTTAATCATGTTTCCTACAACAAAATTAAGAATTCATTCAGTACAGCCAGTACAGGAAGAGAAGAAACAACCATTTGACATGTTTTCCCAATAAAATAAACAATTTTCAAATGCACAGATTTAGAATTGGTTATAAATTTGATTTTCAACAACTATGTTTTTTGCCAGTTTCATGACTTATGATATGACTTTGGAGCAATATGAAGAATTTTGAGAATGAACCAAAGTGAGGTGGTGGTTATTTAGTTTTACTTTTTACTTGTGATTAGTAAGCAAGGTGAAAGTTTGTGCTGTGTTAATAAATTGAGATATTGTCACAAAGAGCAGTAAGATCTGACTAAATTTGAGTAAGGTAACAGGATGATATGATGATGATGATGATGATGATTTCATTCTAATCTTAATCTTATGTGCCTTGTCATCATCAAACATCTGTCACATCCACAGAAAATACCCAGACTAAAAGAAAAAGAACTCAGATCCCATCATCCATTAAGTACCATTTCTTCCTTCTAAACTCAGAACACAAAACATCTCTCCATCT